GACGCGGAGGAGCAGGCGGCGCCAAATGGACAAAGTCCGCTCCGCGACGCCGCCTGCTCTGCTGAGTCCCCCCGGCCGTGGTGGGATCGAGCACAGCCCTGGGCTTGAGTCCGGCCGGCGTGATTTCCACTCGCAATCCCCCCATCGTCCCCTCCCTCCGTCCCCTTGAGCCTCTGTGGATTAACTTGCTTCCCTTAATCGGTGCGTGTGGCCCCAGGGAGGGATCCTGTAAAGAGACTTGAGGATGGGCTTAGGACTGCGTTTCAAATGCAGCATTAGTGGGCCACCTACCACTCCCCTGACCTGTTTCTCTGAGGGGTGTGGCGCTCTTAAAAGGAAAATTTTTGAAGTGTAGCAGACGTGCTGGAGTGGGTGTCTCTGATCCCCCTTGCACATGGAAGTGCTCACGGTGCAAAGGGAGGACTCGGCACGTGGTGAGTGCAGTGCATGGCCGCGCTGCAGGAGGCTCTGCGCCCGAAGACTGACGTAGCTTGGTCGATTTTTCCTAAATATGGGTTTCCTGTCCCTCCCCTCAGCCCCAAAACTTACAGTCCTTACCTGCTGCTCGGCTTGGCTTCTCATGCTCTGAACGAGTTGCTGCCTGTTCAGCAGCAGAGAGCCGTGCGGTGTCCGCGCTTGCTGCTCCTGCCCTGGGCTCCCAGGGCAGCTCCCAGGGCAGCTCCCAGGGCAGCTCCCAGGGCAGCTCCCAGGGCAGCTCCCAGGGCAGCTCCCAGGGCAGCTCCCAGGGCTCAGCATTTGCTGAGAAAGCGTGCTGTTGGCTTCCACGCGGAGACGGGCAGGAATGTACAATCCTCTGCCATCCCTGTGCCATTTCGGCACACCCTCGGCTGGCAGAACCCAGCTAACCAGGATGCTGTGCAGCTGGCAGCTAAAATGTGAGGGTGGCAGAGATGGTGACGCCAGACTCCAGCCATCTTAATTCAAAACTGTGCAGTTTCACTTCAAAACAAATAAGTGAAGTTGAAGTTATGGAGGCTCATGCTGTGCTTAAAAAGGCTTGCCTAAGTGTTGCACGACTTCAGCTCTGGCAAGGCTTCAGGGCACAGAATACCAGTTTTTCAGGGCGAGGGAACAGAGGCTGCCAGACTGTGCCGTGCTTAGAAGCACTAAAATGGCTTCCTGTACCTAAATATAATATGGATGGTCATTTAGGACATTCTACTGCTGCTGCTGGAGTGCCACCAGCTATAAAATATAATCAATGGCTCTCAGGCTGTATTTGAGGCAAAGCTAGGGTGAACTTCAACCGAGGATTTGCATCAATAATTCAGTTTTGCAATAATTTTGTGGCATACAGACGGTATTGCCAGATGTTTTGTATCCATTTTCTTATCCTGGATACTTGATATGTGTATCAGTTATATTTGTATCACTGCTGAATACAAATATTCTGGTATCAGTAAAAGCTTTGAGGCTTGGAGAAATAATCTGTTGCTTTTTTTTTTCAGCAGTGCACCATGTCTCTCAAGGAACAGCTCATCCACACTCTCCACAAACAGGAGAGTCATGCCGAAAATAAGATTAGCGTGGTTGGCGTGGGTGCAGTCGGAATGGCCTGTGCCATCAGCATCCTCATGAAGGTAAATGTCAAGCTTGGTAGGAAGCAGCAGAAAAACTTGAGACCTAAAAGAGGGGCAAAAAAAATAGTCACCCTTGTTAGTTGAACTTCTGGTTATATAATCCTTTTTTGGGCCTGAAATGAAACAACAGTCTTCAAGCTATTGACAGAAGAAATAGCTGCAGCTCTTGTAAATGAAGTTTGCCTCAGGATCAGACAGAATGTTGTTTATGTATCATTTTAAGAGCTGCATTTACCTTTGTGGGACTTGCAGACTCCCTTCTAAGTAGGGATTCTCCAACACTCTAAATATGCAAAAAGCACGAGAACTGAGGATTTATTTTGTCTTGAGCAGAGCAATAGAATAATTCTTTGCAGTGTGATCTGGAAAAATTGGTCCTTGTCTTCTGCCTTCAGTTACCATACTGAAAATTCTGTGGTCAACATCAGGCTTGCTTTTCTTGACTGTCAAACAGGTTGTGTGCGAACTATGCTATTAAATTATTCTTCATTATTGTCCTGCTTAATTGTACTACTATTTCATGCAGAATGTGGTTATGTGAAGTATAAAGTGAACTCAAGGATATCCCAGGGGACTAATTTAAGGACTCTGGGAAGAAGTGAAGTGTTAGAGATGAGCAAAATTGTTTAAGTAGCTTTTAAAATAATTTAACTTCACAGTTTAAAAACTGGGGGCTTTGCTGAAGGAGCCAGCAAACTTACCATTACTCTTGGTCTCTTGTAGGACTTGGCCGATGAACTCGCCCTTGTTGATGTTGTGGAGGACAAGCTAAGAGGAGAGATGCTGGATCTCCAGCATGGCAGCCTCTTCCTTAAAACTCCAAAGATTGTCTCTGGAAAAGGCAAGTAGTTGGCTCTCATGTGCTGATTATTTCTAAATGGAGATTGCCACTTCAGGTCTCACACTGGACAGCCAAGTCTAGCCTGTCACCCTAATCGTTGGGGGGAAAGCTCATCGATACTGTACTCAGTTGACATTTTAAAATGTATCTTCTTATGGCCAGTCCGGCTAGGAATTTTCTTCCAGGGTTCACTACTCAGTACAGAAAGATGGATTTCTTCAGTACTTGTGCACCTTAGAGAACTTTATTTCATGACCAGTTAACCCCTGAACTCATTACTGCTTACTTCTGATAACTTTTAGTGGCAGCCTTGAATTCGGCAAAGGCTTAACCAGCTCATACCTTAATTACAGTTCCTACAGGTAGTGGGTTATGAGGGCAGAGCCTTCTTCCTCTTCTTCCTCTTCTACACAGCACACACTTACCCTGAATGCTATCCCAGCAGCATTATCCTAGTCCCATTTGTGGCTGAGAAGCATGGAGCATCACAGCCTGCAGCTGCATGTTACAGCATCAACATGCCTCAGTGCTGTTGCTTGGGGCAATGAGCCACAGTCTTAAAATTAAATGACATTTTCTGTAGAGGCAAAGTCTAGGCTAACAACTACTAGGGAATTGCTGTAGCCTCAAACTTGGGAATTTGAGAAAGGAAGTGAGAACTCCTGTTCTGAACCATGTGTAGTAAGAGGTCATGTTTGACACAGCCTTTTGTCTGCAGATTACAGTGTGACTGCACACTCCAAGCTGGTCATTGTCACTGCTGGTGCCCGGCAGCAAGAAGGAGAGAGCCGCCTTAACTTGGTCCAGCGCAACGTGAATATCTTCAAATTCATCATTCCCAATGTCGTTAAATACAGTCCTGACTGCAAGCTGCTTATTGTCTCAAACCCAGGTTTGTCTTGTGTTGCCATAAGAGGATTTGGCTTACA